TTTCTATATTTACCTTTACAATATCATCAAATCTGCGTGATACTGTGATGTTTAACAGATTGTCATTTGTGTCCAATTGGCTTTCGCTAATTTTTCATGTTCATATGTTAGATGTTGGACTTTGTGTGCATATTGAGTTAAAATAATCACAATGGATATCTAAAATAATATTTTCAGGTACCTATTCTTATTCTTGAAATTTATGGCCTCTGTGATTCCAACAATTGAATATGATTACACCATGGACTTCGATCTTGGCAGTTCCAGCTCCTGATTGACAAGTAATTTCTTGACCTTATTGTCCTTTGTATGAAGTGAATGTCTATGGCATCAACTATATTCTTAACGTTCCATCATATATCTGAAGATTTGTTTATTTGTTTGAATATACATTTGTAAGCATATATGTGGTGCGCATATATGTATGTCTGTATGTATGTGTATATATATTTTGTTTTCACCCCCCCCTTGTTTATTTATTAGCACACATAGTGTCACTGTGTGTGTGTGTGTATAATTTGGTTCAAATAAAAAGGCCATCTTAGGTGAAAAATGAGAACTAATCTTGACCATTGAGGTCACAATATAGATAGACGAAAACAACTTGTCAGTTCAAAATGCGGTGGCATTATTGTAATTATGAAGAACTTTTAATAAAAATTCAATGATAATAAGAGTGTATCGTACATAGAATAAATGCATTTGTACTAGTACAACATAAAAGTGCTAATATGTATATGAAAATAAATTGTATATAATCACTCGTATAAAATTCTGATAATAAATGTAAACACGTATGGATGTAAGTTTACACATACACTACAATAAAAAGTTGCACATTAAACTTCCAAATATTTACAACTTCATCTCCGCTTTTATTGTGTGAAATTGATCTAATCCATTCATTTTAAATCATGAAAGATCTAAATTTATATAATCTGCAATTCATGAATGGATTGGTTAAATAGCTGAGCATTTTTTAACTTCCCATTGTTTATATTAAATGTTGCCTTTGCATTTTTTGAGTGCTATTCCTTTTTAAGCAGATGAATAGTTGCATACATAGCATGAAACTGGAATTGCTGGTTGTGGTGCAGTTTCCATTAATATATGGCCAAGGGGCACACTTGTATTCTTGTTGTAAAAAGCACTCACAAGAACGTTTGCTTAGGAAGGAAAGGAGAGAGAATTTAAACAACAATATACTTTGATTGTCTTTGATGTCTGTAAATTTCAGTGTTAGCAGTTTGATATTTATTGTTACAGCTCTTTTTAACATCTCTCCTGTTCAATTTAACACACTTGAGCTAAACCAAGAGTATTGGGGTATTACACGAGACTACAAGTAGGGGCAGACCTGGAGTGTTTGCGGTTTCTGACTCCCCGCCCTCTAAGAACTGAAACCATGACTGTGGATATTGGGTATGGTTCCCGAATCCCGACTCGTTCCTGGTCCAGTTCTGTCTTTTGATTTGTTTCAAAGCCAGTACTATGTACAATACAGAGTATTATTACTACTCCTATATTATTTCAACAATATATAATGTTATGATTAAATTAATACAACTATATAAGAGTGATAAGACCCCTGCATACTGTACTATATATACAATATAATTTCTATATTATACTCCGTATTACTTAGTATATTATTAAAACATGTACTTCATATTATACAATTTTTAAAGCATAAAAACTATAAAATATAAATAAATTGAAATGGAATCGAGACCGGAACTGTCTGGTTATGGTAACACATTTGGTACTAGGTTATAATGTTATATCAGTTTGGGGTGCCGGTTTCAATCTTCTTAAAGCGGATGAGGTAACATATATGTGGGTTATGGTAACATATTTGGACTAACAAAAAATATGTAAAATGAAATGGAGCCATGGAGGGAGTATTATTTAAGTATTGTTTCCTTTGTAATTTTTTTTTTAATTTAACTATTGTATTTTAAAACCCTTTCTATAGTGTTTTAAAAAACGCAAATGAAAGAGAATATTGTGTACTTATAATATATTAAGTCTCAATATATTGTCATAGGTACACCACACCATCTAATTAAAAAATATTGAGACCATGATCAATCCTTCACAATCACCAACTATTTTTTATAAGTTTAGGTTGTTGCCACTAAAAAAACTACTTTTGAAAAATGCAACTTCACTTAAAAAAAGAGTAAGACAACATTTTCACATTATTTATAATTTGATACTCCGTACTTTTAATATATTTATTACTAAATTCTCCCAATTAATTGCACTAAAATGACTAACCTATGAGGCTATCACCCTATATTTATTTCACTTTAGGTGGCACTTTTATTTACTAGTCTGTAGTAGCTGGAAGAAAAGAATAGTAAGAACTAGTCTTAACGAATAACGAGGCAGCTCAAAAGCAGTGGAAAACAAGCCAAAAAATAAGGAAACACTTCCACGTACATGTATGTATATACTTCGTATAAACAAAAATGTCTTCTCCTACTTATCAATTAAATCACTATATATTGTGATATTGTCCCAAAGTATATCACAACAGCTAAAACGAGTGAGAGCAATGTCAATTCGCCATTTCCTATTCTCTATTGCTTTTCTGAGTGTAAAGTTAATAGGCTAAGAAATAAGAATGCCGTAGGTATTATTATGCACAAGGCCAATATATATACAATTAGTTACATGGGCCTGTGGGCTACAAAGCAAACTAATTACGTAGTACAAAATAAGAACCCAAAAGAATATTCCAACACCCTCCTCAAGTTGGAGCATGCGGATTATAAATGCCCAACTTGGAGAGAAGAAATAAAAATTGCCGTTTCCCAAGAGCTTTAGTAAAGATATCGGCCAGTTGATTGCGTGTAGAGACATGTTGGGTAGCGATCAGACCCTCCTGCACAGCATCACGTACATAGTGACAATCAACCTCAATGTGTTTGGTACGCTCATGAAACACCGGATTCTGAGCAATGTAAAGAGCTGACTGACTATCACAAAATAATGTCATGGGGCGAGAATGAGTGACACCGAGACTAGATAAGAGATTTTTGAGCCATTTTAATTCCGCTGTTAAAGAGGCCATGGAGCGATACTCAGCTTCAGCAGAGGAACGAGACACAGTGTGTTGCTTCTTGGATTTCCAAGAGACCGGGGAACCTCCAAGAAACACCAGCCAACCAGTGAGGGAACGTCATGTAAGCGGACAGCTAGCCCAGTCAGAATCACACCATCCAATAATAGACAAATCACAGGGAGAAGTAAGGAGAATGCCTTGCCCAGGACATCCCTTCAGATAACGTACCACACGAAGGGCAGCATCCCAATGATCCCGCCGTGGGTTCTGCATAAACTGTGACAAGATATGCACCGCATAAGCAAAGTCAGGACGAGTGAAGGAGAGGTAAATAAGGTGACCAACCAGACGCCTATAGGATGTCGGGTCAGACAACAAATCACCTGTAGTGAGTGCTAAAGAGTGATTTTGTTCCATAGGGAAACTATCAGGCTTCGAACCAAGAAGACCGACTTCAGCTATAATGTCAAGCATATATTTACGCTAACAAAGAAAAATTCCATCTGCATTACGAGCCACCTCAACACCTAGAAAATATTTAAGGACGCCCAGATCATTCATGTGAAAACACGTGCTCAAGTATGTTTTAAATTGAGACAAAGCAGCGAAGTCATTACCATCAATAATTAACTCATCAACATATACGAGAACATATAACTGTATGGCTCCCTGGCGCAAGGTAAATAAGGAATAATCAAAATAGGACTGAGTAAAACCGTAAGACCTGAGAGATAGAGACTAAGTTATTGAATAGGACATGTAACATGCTATTTTGGATATCGAATATGATCGTTATGGATCATCTGAAAAGATTGAGAGATAGAGACTAAGTTATTGGAATAAACACAATATCAAGTTCTTGACTTAGTTGAATGTTCGCTGAATGAAAGGACCATATCACTATGAGCTCTATATTACAGAGAGTTTGAATAGTCATCACAAACGTCCTTATATATTAAGTTTGTGTGGTAAATCGTCTGGAGATTCTACTAAAACCTTAATTTAATTAGTGCTTAATATATAAGGTCATATGGGTCACACAACGAGTGATTATACTTTCCGAATGAATTGTTAGAAGGAATTAAATATTAATTAGATTAAATAATATTTAATTCGTAATACTGGAAATGGATTAAATATTAATTAGATTAAATATATTTAATTGATGGTGTTGAAGGAGTGTTCTATTTGATAGAATTAATTAAGTGTGATAAATTAGATTTATTATACTTAATTAAGATGTATTTGTTGTTAAATAAAGTTGATATTTTCTTTTGTAATTTAGAATTAAAAAGAAAAATAAATTAACTAAATAATAATATATATAATAGATAGAGAGTGGTGTAAGATCACTTCTCTATTATTATTGTTATTATTATTATTATTATTATTATTTTGTTTTCGTTTTATCTATTTATTTAATTAATAAGGAGTATATATTGGTCCTAGCGGGATTAGAACAAATTAATTAGAAAGACTTTCATTGTGATTTGGGAACTAGTTTAGAACTATTACAAATACATCATCCTTCTTCATAATTTATGAGACTAGTTTTCTAGATTCAGTATTACCAGTTTATTTCCTTGCGGACTGATTTACTATTCTTTCTCTATGGGAGATCTAATCGTTCTTTCGGAAAGGAGAAATCACGTGGAAAGAAAAAGTAGAAAAGATAAATTGAAACCTAGATAAACATAAAAAAATGTATTTCAACAAAACAATAATATCTGCCAAAAAATAAACAATGATAAGCACCGCAATGAACAAAAAAGCAACATGATACAACAAAATGCAACACGATGTAATAAAAAACAATACAAGTGATGCAACAAAAAAGCAAAAACCAATATATAAAAGTATCACACCAAATATACAATTAAATTTATCGTTCTTGTTTACTAAATTTATCTACTAATATTATATTATTTCGTCTGTTTCTTATCATTCATTCATTGCTAGGTGTCGCCCTTACAAACATCAATGTTGGTGTGCCTCATTAATTCTCTCCCAATTTGGAATGTGATTCATATAATACCGCTTTTCCTTCTCGATGTTATATAATAACACTTTCTCCCTGCAAAATATCAATGCAAAATATCAATCTTTCAAGTGAAGAATAACCCAATCATAACAAACTAGTGAAGAACCATCTCCCACGCTGCATCAACTCACTTGAAATGGTGAAGCAATATATATTCGGTAGAGACGTAGGGTCTACTTTGTGTTATTTTATTTGTCTCCTAACTATTTATTTTTCATATATAAATTTTCCCCTTTCACTTTTAACTTATTGAACTATTTATTTTATAAGCACTGAATTTTTGGGGTTAGTTTAACCATACTCAGCACTGATCTTACTTACCATGTCGGCAAAGCAAAATCCTAGCTAGCTTTTCCAAACATATAGCCAGTAGTTAGAGCTTCAGGAGGCGCAACTCTTAGTCCTTGGCTGAGTATATCAATAAAATTTGTCAACCATAAAAGCATTTCATTCTTTAATTTCTTTCTCAGTGGAGCAAACCTGTCAGATTCACCCTTCCGTTCAAGAGATGACACTTCTTCCTCTGAGTTGGAGTGATACTTCTTGACCAACCGGTGATCTTTACAGTCATGAGTAATAGGAGATCGATATTTGACATTGTAGTTTTTCATACTTCTCATCCAGGCCGGGAAGAATCATTATCATTGCCACCAAGTCCTATGAGTTTGGAGGCAATCAATCTGAATATCTTGAAGTCATCCTCATCCTTAATCACATGTGGATGTATAGAAGGAATCGTGGTAAAGAAATGAGGTTCTCTTTGAAAGAAGGATCAACATTACTTTTCATTAGCAAATTTGAATCTCCATTAAATGCCTCAGAACCTTTCTGTAAATTACTATTGCTCAGCTTTCCTAGAGGCATAACAGACAAAATTCTCAAGTTTGAATGCATTGGAACTGATGGATAGTCTACCCGGGGGTATATATCCGAAGGGTTATTGCTGGGAATAACTTAGAGAGAAGTCAGAGCAAGTAAATGTAGAGAGAGAGAGTGTATTATAAATGTGGAGCGTTTTCAGCGTGGTTACAAATGGGGAAATAGGGTGCTATTTATAGTAGCAATAAATGCCGGACAGGGACACGTGTCAAGCGCCTATTGGCCGAGGGGTCACCTCAACTGGTTGGCGTTGGCAGCCGCGTGTGGCCGCATTTAATGCGGCTGTTGGATGGGACGTCTGTGCAGGGTACGGTGATCTGCACGCATGTGAGGCGGATATTATGTCGGGAGAGGTGCCCTCGGCTGCAGAGAACCAGCTGAGGGCTCTTAGTGCTGAGGGCCCCTGAGTGCCGAGGGATCCAGGTGCCGAGGGCTACTGTTTTCGCCGTTTTCTCCAAGTTCCTCTGTTTGTTCGAACTATCCATGATGTGATAGTTTGGAGCCTTCGGCCAGGGGGCCGAAGGCACCCCTGGTGCGTATTGTGGGCTGCTTGGTACTCTGGGCGCCGTGATTTGGGCCTGTTGGGCCTCCTGGGCCTGTTGGGCCTCTAAAGGAGTAGTAGGAGTCTGTGGGCCGGGTGTTCCCGGGCCATATACTCCATCAGGAGTCCCTCACTCCTTTTGCCGAAAGGTATTTGAGGGAAAAGGAGTAATTTGTGCTTACCCTTTGATGTTGTCCTGTCGTAATCTCTGAAGTTGGTGAGGAGTTGTTGTTTTCATGTCCCTGCCGAAGGCAGTCCCTCAGTTACCCACATGTCGGGACTTGAGGGCTTGCTTTGTCGTTTGTTGGAATTTCACTAATTTTGTAATTTAATGTTTTTCCCGAGGGGGTTCCCCAGTCCCCCACTCCTTGAGACACTTGTAAAGTGGTGAAAAGGAGTAAAGTAGTTGCGTTGCTGTTGATTAGCCGAAGGCTGACGCTTTTCGTTTCATTTTGGGGGGGTGCCTCGTTAAAAACCTCATTAGAAAAAAAAAACCTGTGGGAAAAAATCCTAACGAGGGAAAAAGAGTGCACCGGATTCCCCCAATGATGAATCGAAAATGTCAAACCTTGGTCAAAAATGGAGAATAACGGTAATGCCGAAGGCTCTTCTTTTTCTGAGGGCTCATGTGTTGATTAGCCGAAGGCTTGCTGTTGATGTCCTGGGGGTGCCGAAGGGGAGCCCCTCAATCCGGGGATCGAGGGCCTGCTGGATGAGGGCAGCAGTGGAGTTGTTACCGGGGGGTCCACTGTTTGTTGATTAGTTGGTGATGAAGATACCCGAGGGCTCCCATTACCTGTGTGCCATGGTTTATCCGTCAATGAGGCAACTCCCCGGGGGCTACCCGGTTTTGCAGTGCTGAGGGGGAATCCCCGAGGGGTTCCCTGATATGAAGCCCTGGGTTTCTGAAGGAGTGATCCCGAAGGCGTCTGTTATGTGCTGTGTGGGGTACAACCCGGGGGCGTCTCTGGGTAAGTGTACCCGGAGGCTCTCCTTGACGAATTGGAGTGAAGTAGAAAACTCGGGGGCTTCCAGAATATAGCCGTTGGAAATATAGCCGTTGGAATATGTAACGTCAGGATATAGCCGTTGGGGGGGTACACGTGGCGCGTGACGGTTGGCTGCCCGTGGGCGGCGTCACCGGTTGGGTGAAAACACGGTGCGTAATGATGACGGTCCGTCCGGAGGCCCGGTTTCCGGGCCCAAGCCCGGATTCCAGCGCCTATAAATACCCCAAGGCCAGGCATTCCTCCGTGTGCGAAAACCTTGTTAGCGAAGCTCTGCCAATTTTTCTAGAGAGAGAAACAGCAGCTCTCGGTTGAATCCTCTGTTCTTAAGGTCAGTTCTCCACTTGCCCTTCCTCTTAGCTACCTGTATTGTGCCCTTAGGCTAGGAGATAGAATATTTAGAAAACACTAGCGTCTACGAGCCTTCGAACTAGAGTCAGAATGTCGTCCCAGAGTGATTCTCAAGACATCTCGGGGGCGCCCTCGATGGAGGATGAAGTCCTCTCGGACGTGGAGTCCTCAAGTGCACAGTCTTCGGTGGGACAGGATGCCGTCGTTGCCCTAGAGTTGCAGAAAGCCCTCGTAGCTGAGGCGGAAGCCGAGGGCTTCGAACAAGAATGTGAGGACGAAAAGTTGGCCCTCGCCTGGCAAGCAGCTGAAGAGGAGGCACAAAGAGAAAACGTGAGGGTCACCGTTGCTGTGCTCCCCCCTCGGGGTGCCAGTGAGGCCAGCACCTCTCGGCCGCTGAATGCGATCCCCGTCCGGGTGGCCCCCGGAAAGAAGAAGGCCAAGGCCGCTGCTCCCAAGAAGAAGGGCAGCGTAGCAGACCAAGGGAAGCCCCTCGATATGCCCGAGGGGTACTCCTACCTCAACACCGCCGCATTGGAGATCAAGTCGAAGGTTGATGCGGCGGACATCTATGTCACCCAACTTCACGTGGGCCCCTCGGCCATCGTGGTGACACCGGGTCCGGATGACGTCCTCTCCCGGGCTCCCGAGGGCTACATTGCGGTGCACGTTCTCTCAGTATCCATGGGGCTCCGCTTCCCCCTGCACCCCTTCCTCCGGGAGTACCTTCGGTTCGTGGGTCTGGTTCCCTGCCAGCTGACCCCGAACAGCCATTCTTATATCACTGGCTTCCTTCAGCTCTGCAAGTCCCGGGGGGTGACGCCTATCCTGGACCTCTTCTTCCAGAGCTTCAACCTGTGCCGGGGGGGGGGGGGGGGGGGGGCACGCGAATGCCGAGGGATTCGCCGATTTGCAGCAGGTGTCCATGTTCAAACTCTTCACTGAGGCGCCCTCCTCGAACAAGGGGTGGAAGGACCGGTGGTGCTATGTGAAGCTGACCGAGAGCCCCTTCCCGAGGGAGCTACGTGACCGCTTTAGGAGGCACGAGAAGAGGAGGTGCGCCGCCCTCGAGAAAGATGGCAGGATTCTGGCCATGATCCCGGAGGGCCGGGACAAGAATATCTCCATCAAGGAGTGCACCAAGGAAGCAGATCTCTACACCCTCGGGTTCCGGCGGTACCGGTTCCTGGGGGAAACTGATGAGAAGTTCCCAGTGTTTGAGGGAGCCTCCGGAGGTAGTGGCTGAGGGCATTCTCACCCTCATATCTTAGCACGTTTGTTCATTTGCTTCGTTAATTCTTTATGCCACTTAGTAGTGACCCCTCGATCCTAACCCCTCATCGTTTTGCAGGTATTCCAGTAAACATGATGAACGTCAAAGGCCTCGCCCGACTCAAGAACAAACCGGCCAAGGATCCGAAGGGGCCGGACGCTGGCGGCCAAAAGCCCGTCGGTGCGCCTCCCAAGAAGCCCGAGGGCGATGCTGCTGCGGCGAAGAGGAAGCCGTCGGCAAAGGAGCCCCCCCAGGCCCCCAAGAAATCGAAGAAGGGGGACGCCGCGAAGGATGACCCCCCGGTGGTGATTGTAGATGACCCTCCGGAGATGCCGATGGCGCAGGTGCCGAGGGGTGCCCGAGAGCCATCTCTCGAGGTCCTCACGCTCTCCCTTCCGGCTGGCACGGCCGTGTTGAATGGCACGGCTGACCCGAGGGCGCTCCTGAGAGGTATAACCCTCGATATCGACAGGGCAGCTCTCGGGGCCGATGACGACCAAGCCCTCGAAGACAGGATCCTCCGGTCTTCCCTCACGGTAAGCTTATGACAGTTTGTCTTTCTCCTTCCTACTTTGAACTAGGACATTACTTTCGGCCCTGACAACTCATTTATTTTTGCAGACTTGCGTTGCCCTCGGAGAGCAGTTCTGACGGCTGGAGGAATGGCGCCTCCACAAAGCTGGGCAAGACGCCAAGATGAAGGAGCTAATCCTCAGGGACTCCCAGGCCACGAAGCTGATGGCCCAGCTTGAAGAGGACCTCCAGCTTGCGAGAGCGGAGGCCGGGAGGCTCAGGGAGGAGAGGGAAAAAGCTGAGGAGGCCGCTGCGGAGGCCGCAAGGAGAGCTGCCGAGGAGGCCGAGGCCATCAGGGCGAAGGCCGTCGCCACAGCCCGGGAGGAGGCCATCTCCGGGTTCCTGGACGGGGGGTGGAAGACCGAGGGGCACAAGGCATGGCTGTCCTCGGTTGTGGAGGCCTCAGTCGACG